TTCCAGTGCCTGGAGGCCCAGATATATAAATGCATGTTCCAGTGCCGTCAGTGATAGCGAGACGCAAACAATCGTAGACGGTGTTGAATTCGCTATCCCGACACGGAAGGGAAGCTGGCACACTTGAAACATGTAGAAGGTTGCGGGCTTGTCGATATGGAGACGATGTAAAATGAGATGGAGAGAGGATTCGAGTTCCTAACGGGGTAAATTCCACAGGCTTCTTAACTACAATCCTGTCGGGGTTTTAGTATGTTGCATAGATAGGTATTCATTTGAATGATGGATGGATATCATACCTCCTATGGGTCGGAGTGGTGAGAACCTTTTGGCGTCGTCGGGATTGTGGCGTCCCTGCCACTGAGGACGTTTTGTGCCTCTTCCGCGGTGTAGTCGGCGCGATGCCGGGTTCCTTGACATCCGCATACTTTGCACAAATTCCATTAGTCTCAGGTTAGACGTAAAAGGGAAATTGATTGGCCACCAACCTCGTCATCTATTACTTGTCGCTTGCGAGATCGTTTCAGCCCAGCTTTAATAAAATCGATGAGCTCAAACATGCCCTGTTCGGTCCCGTCGAAGACCTCTTCCCATATAAATTCTTCAGTATATTTTCCTTGGAGCTGATTGACGCCTCTTCGGCAAATGATACACTTGTTGTACTCTGCCAATTCTGCTTTCCCTTTAGGGGGGATGCCATTCGGGTACCGCTTCTCGAATGCGGCTTTCGATAGAACAGTCGCTTTTCCATTCATCGACGTCAAGGGGTTGACGTTAAAATCCATAGTTATGTATTGTTCATTAGGCAAAGCGTCTTCCCGCTTCTTGTTTTTCGTTGACAGAAATTCATCTGGGGATGCAAACCACATGATATTGGCGCTTTTTACAAGCTCCCCACTACCATCTTCGTCTTCGTCGTCGTCGTCTTCTTCTTCTAAAAACTCGCAGATAATACCTGCCCAATCCTTTCCGGGCTCGGGCGAATTTAGTAGTACAGCCTGCCCCAGTCTGCACTCAAACGAGCCCGTCCTTGCCCCTATGATTTTCTTCGTAAGAGCTTTTCTCCGTGAACGTTGTGAAGTTTTGCGCTTTGTAGGTGTCACACAATCAAGCTCATCACCAGAACCGTTTAATCGGGAGTCTTCAGTAGAAGGTGGATCTGTTTCATATATCCATTCCCATGGATGGTCCTCATATCCAAGCTCATCGTCTGAATCTTCTCGGTAGATGCCGCCTTTTGTTAGCCATTGTTTCGCGCGTTCCTCTGCTCGATTTGGTTTCTTTTTTCGTGTTTCCGATTTTCCAATGGGAGCCATATTTGCTGCTAAACACTCCTTGACAGTTCATATGAGTATCTCTAAGGTGTTTTGCTCACGCACTACAGAATGTTCAACAGGTGTGTCGTTTGGAGCTTGCCCTTTTCGCGACGCGTCTATGGCGCCTCTTATTGGCTAGAGCGCTTAGCTGCTAATATGCCCATTCGTGGTTTAGCGTCGCCAGGAACCAATCGTCACGTGCTGCGACTCAACCCAGCTCGAGAAAAACAATCAACAAGCTTGCAACAACGCTTCAACTCGAATCTGCTCTCTTCCGGCGACAGCAGGGATTGGGGACGTGGTATTGACCGTGTCTATTGCCGAACCCATCAGGGTTAACGCACCGTCCCTTGCTGGTATATAATATAGATCGCGGTACCGAATTTTGCCAACAGGTACCCCCCAAGCGGCCTGATGCGACGTCGCTGAAATTTCTCTCGTGCTCGCTCAACCCGCGTGGGTCTTCCCCCGACTAGCTGAGCAATAGCTGCTGTGCTTCGTCTTATCTTGAATCATTATGTCACTCTTTGGACAGCAAACATCTCAACAGCCCCAGTCCACCACGGGGCTGTTTGGGTCAAGCAGCCAGCCCCAACAGACGGGAAGTTTATTCGGAGCGCAACAAGCAAACCAGCAGAAACCTCAGGGAAACCTTTTTGGCTCTCTCGGCCAACCGCAGCAGCAACCACAGCAGCAGACTGGTAGCCTCTTTGGCGCAAGCACCCAGCAGCAGCAGCAGCAACAAACAGGGGGGTTGTTTGGCAGTACCCAGCAACAAAACCAACAGAAACCAGGCGGGTTATTCTCCGGACTTGGCTCTAGTACTCAAACGCAGCCGCAACAAGGAGGTAATTTGTTCGCCGGACTTGGGTCTACTTCTGCTACGCAACAACCTCAGCAAACCGGCAGCCTTTTCGGGACTTCGACTACCCAACAACAGCAGCCTCAGCAGCAGCAACAAGGCGGTGGTATGTTTTCGGCATTCGGTCAGAGCGCCCAGCAGCAACAGCAGCCTCAGGCACAGCAGGGCGGCGGACTCTTTGCTGGCCTGGGAGCAAATACTCAACCGCAACAACCGTTTGGAGCTACACTCGGCGCTGGACAGCAACAACAACAGCCACAGCTCGGGCAATCTCAACAAACAGCGCCGACGTTATGGACGCCGGGGCAAGGGATGACTGGTGGTAAGTAGTGATACCCATCTTGACCGAAAGTGTTAAGCCGTGAATCTGACACTTTTATCATAGTTCACCGTACGGTACCAATGCAAATGAGCATCGTTACCGATAAGTGGCAGCCCACTAGTCGAAACTCCCCGTTTCGCGCTCACCTATACAACAATGTAGGCGAAGACAATGCGCCCTTTTTCCAACCTGGTCCGAATGACGATGAAGCAAAATGGGAGGATGCACTGCGGAAAAGACCAGGTCCGGCTTACGTCCCTGTGCTCGTACAAGGATTTTGGGAGCTTGGAAAACGGGCGCAGCGACAAAGGGATTTCCTTGCGATGATGCAATCCCGCCTACATGAGATTAATAACGCTCTCACCGAACTCCTCTCGCGACACGACTTGAAAATTTCGGTTAAGCTCGCAGCCTGCAGACGAAGGCATGTCGTCCTCAGTCAGAGATGTCTTGCCCTTGCGGCAAAAACACAAATACTGAGGAATCGTGGGTATGCCATGGATGAGACCGAGGAGGAGTTGCAAAAGAAGCTTAGCCAACTAGAACGCTCCGTTTTTGACCCCTCCCTAAATGGCCGCACGGAGGAGATCTGGGCCAGAATGCTGGCAATCCGGGAACAATCGAAGCGCCTACAACTGGAAGTGGAAAGAACTGGACAAGAAGCTAACCAACAAGCCGATGATGAATTAGATGAGACTGCTCTAAAAACTGCCAAGAAGGTATGCTCCGGCCAAAAAGTTTTTGATATTTTTTTCGATACTTTCAGGTCCCTTTTGCTAACGAGTTGGCTAGATTCTGGACAACTACGCGTCACAAATCCAGCATCTAAATAAGGAACTTGCTGCTGCGCAGAAGGATTTTGAAACAATACATGGATCCTCAACATGAATACTGCTCCCTGTGATTAAGCGCTCGTTGGTTTTCGTTTTTTGTTCTTCGCCCATTTAATATTAATGTGGAATTGAGCGAAATAAAATATTTTTCTCTCTTTCTCTTTTTATCTTATCATCTTTCTAGTCGGGGACATCACAAATGGCGTTACCGGAGCGGACATACTGGTAGTAGTGGTTTCATCCAAGCATGAAAAGGGCAAGATACAATACTTGTTGATGTATTGTTCGTTTTAGATCCAACCATCTAATTAACCCTTTGCCCAGATAATTATCGTACAGTATTCAACGCGGACATACAGTACACAGGCGTCCAATATATCCAAGGCCACCCAACCAATTCCCTGCCGCCCCATAGCAATGTGTGAACTGAACACCCCGTATGGATCATTTAGATATCAGAAAATGCATTCCCACCACTGGCGTCATTCGAATTTGCTTTATTTAATCCAATATTACCCTGCGGGTTTGATAGATCCCATATGAAATGCAAATATTTGTAGTCCCTCGAGAATTATGTATCATAGTTCCCTCCCAAAAAGACAGCCAAAGGTATTATAAATACTCCGCCACATAGCTTAAAAAAGGCTCTTGACAAAACTAATCGCGAAGGGTGCTATGTAGAAAAAATCAAGGAACGAGTAAGCATGGTCTTCTTCAATTTTTGCTGTTTTTTTCTTTCGGCAGAGCTCGGGAATGGAATGGGAGGGTAAGGTTCAACATACAGAGATAAAGGGCAATGCTGCTTGCAATGACTGTCTTCACGGTTTGGCATGCCTCCTTCTCTCCGGCCTATATATATTTCTCGTCTGTTAGTTAGTCGTTCTATTCCTAGCTTGCGGCATCCCGCGTATTTATATATCTTGCCAACACTCTGCGACGTTGAAACATCGAGTAGGGGATCGAGAATCGAAAGGGACAGTAGTGAGGAAGGATAACAAAACGGACCTTGATCTCGGCCTCAGAGAGCTGCGGGGGCCCTGTATGTCACGACATTTTGTTAATGAGGTTAACTGGGCAAAAGGTGATGAAGAAAATAATGACCGATCCGGCGAACGTACCTGGAGCAAACATGATTTAGGAGGTGAGGTTGTGATAGGGAGGCTCGAGAAGGCCTATGGGGAAAATGAAATGGTAGTAATTGAATTGAAAGGAGAGCTTTAAAATAATATAGCGGGTGTTGCAATGATGTTCAATATATATATGTATGTCCTGAATCAAGGTCACGATTATTTTTTATTTCAAGATGACGCACGGGCCACCTGCAATCTCGCCCAAGCCGCATCCATCGAACTCTCCCTCGCCGGAACCTCCAAACCCGCCACCGGCACAAGAGCCAGTATTCACACTTCAACGCCCCAAGCCTTTCCCTTGAAATTACAGTGTATATTTGCATCTCACCAAGTTTCTCTCCTTCTCTCCTATATCTCTTGCGCAAAACCAGGTTTGCCCTTTCGCTAGCCGCTCCATTTAGATTTCCCTCACTCGGCAGACTATTCCCTCCGAAGATAACTTGAGACGCGCCTTTCTTTCAACAGTGGATACGAAAAGAAGACAAAAAGAACAAAGTCAATCACTATAGAAGCCTCCTTTGCAGGGAGCTGCCAACCATGTCTGCCTCGCCGGAACCACCTGCTCCTGCTCCCGAATCCCCTCTGGTGGACAAAGAGGACGACAGCCCGCAAAACAACACCGCCAACGCTAGCATCGCAGACGTGGACCTTTCCGACGATGAATCTCTCCTTTCTGACGTCGACGACGCGCAGTTCGAAGACTTCGACGCAGCAAATGTCTCCATTGACGAACGTCCCGCCATCGCCATAGACGAGGAGAACCTAAAGCTCATTGGACGACATAAGCGCGCCCGCAACGAGGAAGAGGAAGAGGAGCGGAAAAGGAGGAAGAATAAAGAGGGGCGTCGGGAGAAGAAGAGCCGCCGGAGGCAAGAGAGTGATGACGTGTTTAGTGGTAGGGAGGAGATTGATGGGAAGCGGGTGAGGAAGCGGAGAGAAGGGGGTGAGAAGAGGAGTAGTAGGAAGGTTGTGGAGGAGGTTAATGAGGAGGAGTTAGATCCTGCTACACGTATGTCCTCTTGCCTGAATCTACGGTTTTACGGTTTTACGGTTTTATTTTTTTGTTACTTACAGGGCGGGAATTGTTTTATAGGTCGTCGACGGGCGCTTGATCGTATGATGGATGAGCAGCTTAAGAAGCCTACGAAACGCCGAGCTCGTAAGGCAGATGGCATTGTATGTGAAGAAGACCTTTTGACTGACTGGGGAGCTGAAGTTGAAGATGGCGAGAGAAATGGGAAAACAAGCGCTAATCGAAATTTTGTTTATAGGATCTTGCCGACCTAGCCGATGCGGAGATTGAAGATGTTCGAAGACGTATGACAGATGCTGCGAGACTGGACAGCATAGCGCGGAAAGAGAACCGGCCCGCGATGCACAAATTGAAGATGCTCCCGGAAGTTGTTTCGCTCCTAAATCGCAACCAGTATATCACCAGTCTAGTTGACCCGGAAATCAACCTTTTAGAAGCTGTCAAATTCTTCCTGGAGCCATTGGACGACGGCTCCCTGCCGGCATATAATATTCAGCGTGACCTCCTTGACGCACTGGGCAGACTCCCCATCAACAAGGAGACGCTCATCGCGAGTGGCATTGGCAGGGTCATAGTATTTTACACCAAGAGCAAGCGGCCTGAGATTGGAATTAAGCGACAGGCGGAACGACTTCTCGCAGAATGGACTCGTCCCATTTTGCAGCGCAGTGATGATTATTCGAAGAGAGTCTACGAGGAAGCCGATTTTGATCCTAGGTACGTCTTGTCTATTCCTTTATTCGCATCTCGGTCCTCCCGATATTGTGTCCCATATTGTGTGTGATAAAGCAAAAAGAAAAAGAAAAGGTCCATCTCGACCACCTGTATCTTGTTAACATTCATCTCACTCCCTCCTACCATAGTCAACTCGCTTCTCGCAACCAGGGTGTATCAGCCCAAGCCACAGCTGCGGAGGCTCGTGCACGAGAGCTTCTGCCCCCTCGCCTCGCCAATCGTGCGCGTGTCGAAGCTGGACATACGTCGTATACCATCGTACCGCGTTCAACCACAGTTCAGGAAAGCAGATTTGCGCGTCCCTTGGGCTCAAGTGGTGAGGATCGTTTTCGACGGATGAAGGCACGACAGGCGGCGGCAACGAAGGCGTCGAAGAGGTAAACGGGGCTTTAATAAATAAATAAAAAAAAAAGGAAAGAAAAAAGAAAAACTAAGCCAGCCATCCCATCCCCCTGTCCTGCTATTGTTCCAGGCGAGGCGGCGGTTTGGGGCCGCTAGCTAAGTGGTACATACATACCCTTTGACCCTTCGGTGAGAGGGAAACGAATATTCCATCAAAACCAAGACTTATTTTGTTGTCTTCGTGCTACGAACGATACCAAACTTGTTTTATTTTCCCCAGCGCTGATTTTTTATTTTATTTTATATTTTCCCCCCTTCGACTTCATTTTCCGTAGAGTCAGGGCTGCGTTTTGGAAGAAGGGAGGGAGGGATATATCATTTTCTGATGTATGTAATGTATGTAATGTACATGTACATGTACATGTACAGTACTCCGTACAATTTTGCTTTCCTATGTATTTCTGGTCGGAACTAGATAAATACACGGGGGGTGGGTGGCGCATAAACCCTCCAGCAAGACCAACAGTGACCATCTGTCCGCCTCTGATTCGCATATCAGGAGAGATCATATACTACTACTACGTACTACTGTGCGTACGCAGTATATGATGATGTTGTTCGCCCCTTCCAAGGTTGCCTTCTTGGGCTGGGGCCCAGGTCACGGGGCCGCCACCTGACCAAGTTGTCGCCGGCTATGGAAACCGCGGAGAAGCCGGAGATGCAAGCCGGCAATGGCGCCGGTACCTGCCCGCCGCAGGAGTTCCCGCAGCAGCAGAAGTCACGCTCGCATTGTGACAGTATATTATTATTATTATTCAAACCCCGAGCAAGCAAGGATTGTCCAACCAAGCGACGCGATGATTCCAAATTATTGGGCCTTACATAATCACCCGCGATCCCTGCTTTCTCCGTCACTTTCGATTTTGCTGGTGAAGCTTTTTTTTTTTTTTTCCATTCCGGGAACAGTTCTTGATATTAATTAATTGTTAGCTGGCTGACTAACGTTACGACGTACTAACTAGTTAGTTAAACGAGCAACTTCTTATATTTACATCATCCGTCCCCGAACTTGGAACCTTCGCCGCCCGCAAACCCCCCCTTCCCCCCAATTTCTAGACAACACCACACACACCCCATACTACCATCCTACATATATCTTCGATATCAATACTGATAAACTCTCTTTCCTTTCTCGAGAGATCAGTTATACAAACAACATCCTCCGCCTTTATACCATCACCACCCCCATCACAAGTTCGCTATCATGAAGATCCTCACGAAGGAAGAAGAAGATGCTCATTACAGGTATGCAAAAACCCAATCCTCCTACAATAACTAGAAACCAAATGAAGGGAGGAAAGCAAGTAAAACACATAAAATAACGATCATGCAAACTTCTCCAGGGCTGTCCTCCGTGGAGGAACAGTCGGTACAGTCGTTGGTCTCGTAGGAGGCACCGCCGCCCTCCTAGCCGCCTCCAAGCGCGTCCCAACCATCAAAAACCTCACGCTTCCCATGAAAGCCTTCCTCGTCACCTCCTCCGGCACATTCTTGGGCATCATCGTCGCCGACCACAGCTCCCGCTCCTTCGAAGCCTCCCAACACCACGAACATGCCTTCCTCGGCGAGCGCGAGGCCCGTCTCCGCAAGGAAGAGCTGGCCACCATGTCTACCACAGACCGCATGTGGGAATTCATCCGCAAGGAGAAATATAAGATTATGACCGTGTCGTGGGCAGCGAGTATGATTGCCGCCTGGGCCATGGTGAGCCGGAACACGGCCCTGACCAAGGGCCAGAAGATCGTGCAGGCCCGTGTGTATGCCCAGGGCCTGACCTTGGCGGTCATGTGTGGCACGGCAGCGATGGAGATTAGTGATCAGCGGAGGGGCAAGGGCTTGCTGGATAAGATGAAGGAGAAGCAGGCGCAGACGAAGCAGGCGAAGCAGAATGAGCGGTATCAGGGCGAGGAGCTGTGGAAGGATATGGTTGAGGCGGAGGAGGAGAGGTTGAGGAGAAGGATGAAAAAAAAAAGAAAAACCAAAACCATAAAGGCGGGGGGGCTTGTAGTGGGCCCTGGTATGAGATCAAAAGTCTAAGGTTTTTTTCCCCGCTTACTTTTGAGAAGAAAAAAATATCATAACATGGGGGGGGGGGGGGGGGGGGCGGACGTTCACGATTTCATTCAAGTCATGAAACGCTCGCCGAATTCTCGCGATATACATACATCACGCACACACACACATACCAACATACCAAGATCGGATTCCCCCCCAATCCCGCCCGCCCATCTATTTAAAGCTCGCAGGGATATTTCAAACAATCCCCGCCCTCAACGTCGTCGATCTCTAAAAAGTGCTTCCCTTTTTAGTTGTCACCAGCGCCCTCGTCCCTATTATTTATCCCTCCGACGAAGAAGTACGAAAGAAAGACACCCATAAACTCCTCAAACTCGAAAAAAAAGAAAAAACAAAAAGCCCCTTGGCTACACGCAAACCACGAAATCTCAGCTCAGTTCTCATTGAAATCTAGGAGGCTCTACATTTTTTCCCTAAAAGAAATTTTCACGTTCCTCTGTCTTTTTTCTCAAGTTTAACATCATCGACTAATCACAGCGGGGACCATTGGCTGGTCTAGTCTTCAGTTCACGCCTTGTATTTCTACTTTTTTTTTTTTTTTTTTTTTTTTTTTTTTTTTTTTTTTTTTTTTTTCCCGGTCCAGTTCAAGCATGGTTAATGACCCCTCCCCCTATTGTCTCCTCTCACTGCTGTTATCTCATCTATTTTAAAAACCTTAACCCTTTTTTTTCTTTTAACCTCCGGAGCAACTTCTTTGCATAGCTCCTTTATAAATATTATTGGAGGGAAATGGTACAGGGGGTGGTGGGTGGTATAGTTGCATTCTTTCGATTTGTGTTCGATTTGCTCTTTTTTTTTTTTTTTTTTTTTTCCCTTGCCTGAATTACTACCTTAAATGGAAAGGAATACAAAACAAAACAAAACAAATGAATGAATGAATGCATTAATTAAAGGGGAAAAGGTTTATTTATTTATTTATTTGTTTATTTATTTTTATTTTTTGCTAAATGGAGCGTTGAATTTCGTGGCGTCAATCCTGTTTGTTATTGTTACACTGTGTTTGAATCCCTCTCTCCATATGTCGTTTACATCATCTGGATATTTCATCTATGAAAATGAAAAACATTGAAACATCGTTGATCTCTTTCTTCTCTACCTCGTCTAGTCTAATAATCTAAGGGGCCGGAAATCTTTTTTTTTTTTTTTTTTTTTTTTTTTTTTTGCAACAAGTGGGGGTATTATTAGTTAAGGGAGGGTAGGTAGGGTAGCTAAGGAAAACTAGGGCATAGAGGGAGTGAGTAAACAGGAAACTCGAGTGGTGGTGGAAATTGGAAATGGAAAAGAAAAAAAGAAAACCCCGCATTCGCATGTTGGGGAAGGTAAAAAAAAGGATCCAAGGGAAATGAAAGCGGGTGTTATGAGCAGCGGTGCAAAACACACAAAGGAGGGGAAAGAGGAAGAAACAATTCTCTAACTCTGTACAAGAGACCCCGAAAGCGAAACGAACGCCAATCCCGTACTCTACTCTACTTACTCTACATATATCCAAACAGTAATCCAACGTGTACCCAAAACAGAAGGGGGTAGGGGGGGGGGGAGGGGGGAACCAAAAAAACCGGAAAAGCAAAACGAAAGAAAAAAAAATCTACCCCTCAACCATCTGCAACAACTTCGCATCAAGCGCGATAAACGCCCCCAAGCTCTCCATCCCCTGCACCCTCCGCTCCTCAATCCGCTCCCACGTCCACTCATCCGGATCCCACGACCGTCGCCGATCCCTCGTCGCACTCTCCAACACCGCCGCGCCCATATCGCTACTCTCCGTCAACGCCAGCACCTCGCGGACAACAACACTCTCATCCAGCCCCTCGCTGGCATTGATGGCTTCGCCGCTCGACGGCGTGCCATTTGACGACGACGACGGTGGTGGTGGCGACGACGAGGAGGAGGAGGAGGAGGAGGCGGCAGGGGCTGCATCCGCAGGAGGCTCAGGGATCAAACCGCTAGCGTTCAGCACCTTCGCCGGCTTGATGGTCAGACGGCCCTTCTTGATGACATACTGGCTGATGGCGGTGGCGAGGATGGTCTTGGGCTCCCCAGTGCGCTTCGCGGGGCGGAGGAAGAAGGTCACCACATACAGCCATTTCTCATCCCAGGCCGCGATGCGGCTTTGCATCTCGTAGCGTTCGTAGGGGGGGATCTCCTTCTTGAAACTGCAGTAGACGGAGCCGAGGAAGACGGCTAGTTTGCCGGGGTATTTCTTCTTCTTCTTCGTCTTCTTGCTGTTGCTGTTGTTGTTGTTGTTGTTGTCGCCACTTGCGCCGTTGGCAGTGGTAGTTGGCACAGTTTCGAATTCCCTGTCGAGTTCTCGTCGGCAGATTCCCAGGCCTGGGGTGCAGACGTTGGTCACCAGGGCTGTGCGGGAGATGTCTAGGTCGGAGAAGTAGGTGCTGTTGGACTTGTGGAGGTTGTAGTCTGTTTCCAGGAGGGAGGTGTGGCTCATGACGCTGACGGGGGTGAAGAGGGGATGTGCGCCGCTACCACCTGTTTGCTTCTTGAATCTCGCCTTGAGCTTTGGGTGGGTGTGGAGGTGGAAATTGACATTTTTGAAGAGGTAGTAGAAAACGCGGATCTAGACATGTGTTTTATGAGCTGGTTAGATAATTACACATTTGTCTTTGCGCGTGGCTGGCTCCAGCTTCCAATGCACAGGTGTATAGAGTACAGTTTCAATCATGAAGACATGAGGAAACCGCACAATATCAGATAAATGAAAACCCCTGGTGAGGAGTTCTTCACTCACAGATACAAACTGAAAGTCAACAAATAGAGAAAATAGGACACTGCACATACATGCCATGCAAAGGGTAGAGACTTGATATTGACAACAATCAGAAGTATAGCAAGACTTCTCCAGGACATAATCTGCTGCAGCCATCTAAGAGCAACATTTGACTGCAGCA